ATGACAATTTGTGACCACTGAATTACCAAACTACTCTTACACTGCTGGTGTCTCTGTGGTTCATTTTTCTTGGGTAGAAGGTTTGGGTGAATCTGCAATTTGATTGGTCATGGTGGCAAAAATTAATCACACCATTGATCCCAGACATCTGTTGAAATGGCTTTTTTTCAGGCCGTTTCACCTACTGCTGGTTTCATTCACAGGATTTAAAAAAGTGATCACATGATGGCAAACATCTCTTGGTGCAGATGGCCACAGTTTGCAGCACAGCTGTTGCAAACTCCTCAAAAAATACCAAGTTCTAAGCAAATCTTATCCATGCGATGAATTTTGCATCTGTTGAACTCTTCTCTGAAACATATCTTGGATGTATCTTGCTAGAAAGTACAAAACTCAACAAACTTGTAAGCAAACAGTGAAGCAACTTCTTCAACAGCAGAGATTCACTCATTACACGATCATAACATTTGTCATCAGCAGGGCATGCAAAAAAAAGTCATTTCAACAGACTTATCATCTCGTATTCCATTCAAATAAAGGAATAACAATCATGTTAAATTTATAAAACTAAATGTATTGATACTTAACAATAAAAAAGATGGTTACCAAGACATTCTAAGATAAGATACAACACAGATGACACTGTGTTTTCACTATGTTCCTCCAAAGCATTTGTTGTTGCATGTGGCCTGTTGTCAAGACTTCTCTCCTGTTCATAAGATACAAAACCCTTTGCTTTTAATCATACTAAATGATTAGTTCAACAAGGCTGTGGGAAGCTGAAGATGATCCCTAACCAAACATTTAAGATGTATGATCAGAAACTTACTCTTGCATCTATAAGTCGTGAAAACCAGCCCTTGGTAAGTTTATGCCTTGCAATGGCCTGAATGAAATAAAAAACTGGCAAATTACAAGCAGTTTAAAATAAAAGAAAGAAACAATTTGTTTGTATTTAGACATACGGCAACATGGAATCCATTTCTAAATTCCACATGCTCGTTGTACTATTAAAAGAAATCAAAACTAATTAAGATGCAGAAACATATACAAAAAAAAGAGCTAACCTCAGCTAATTTCAGTGCAACAGGCTGTTGAGGGGGATTCCCCTAGAAATACCAGGACATAGCTAGTTAATATTTTAAATAAAAATTCAGTGTCCTACAAATAGTCAAGAGGGTTGTCAAAAAGGGCCATATAACCCTCAACACTTGTTATGGCTCATTTTGTTTGATGGGCCCTTGATGCTACGGATGAACTTGTTGTAGTTGCTACAGTTCACCCTTAAAGTGACAAGTTTGTTACACAACCTGAGTATCAAGGCTACAGGTAAATCAAAACTTAATGACAGCATTGCAAAAGTGTCCCTTACAAAGAAGACAAGACTATCTGCAAGACACATTATTACGCGCTCTTTTTAATTCTACAAAAAGCAGTTTGAGTCTACTCATGAATGAATTCTATACATCACTATTTTACGAAACTGCTATTTCACCTGGAAAGTGTTTTCCAATGAGTCCCTCCAGAATTGCAGCCTCATTTTTCCTATGGTTGGTTCACTTACAATATCTTGGATCTTGATTTCAGAAAAGCAAGAATCAGCATTCACATAACAGGAGATCAGTGGCAAAAATTTAGATCTGCTTTTAAGGTGGGGCCTGAACATTTTGGCACTTTAATTTTTGCAGGAACAAAGGAGAGTACATAACAACATTTTTGGCCCTTCTTAGTTCTAGTCTCCAGAATTTGACCACCCTGAGATAGACCCTCATTATGTAAATTTTTTTTCCTGATGTTTCCTTCCTTGGAGAGTGGAGGGGGCACTCCCTTATATGAGCTATAATAATATTATAGATATGTGCAGTCCCAAAGTGTATGGTTTTTGAGTGGTTTTGGTCTGAAAGGGGTAAGGATTTTGACCATTTTGGTTTGAAACTGTGTGAAATAGGGTTTGTTTAACACTCTGGTACAGCCCTTTTTAAATGTTTATGCAAATGGAAGCTATTTCTGGTTAGCTGGGTCATATATTAGAGCCACGTACTAATGTTAGAGGTCTGAAATGGGGTATCGATTTATCGCTTAGGTCTGAAATAGGGTGTGGAAAATCACAGATTTTGGTCTGAAATACAGGTTTCAAGGTTTGGGCCACCCACTCCCTGGCCCCCCCTCCCCACCAAAATCTTTGGGTAGTGTCCGCTCCCAGTTTCCTGACAGTTTATTTTTTATACCATAACTGGATGGGAATATTTATCATCATTTTTTTCTTTACAATTTTCTGTTTTGCTGATTTTTTGAAAGGGGTTTGATGTGAGCTAAGTACAGTACTACCTCATTTTGGCGGAAAACTTGCCTGGTGGGAAGAAACCAGTGGGAATTGGGTGAGAGGGGTGGGGGGAGGGAGGCATGCAGTTGGGAGGTGACATGAGATCGTAACTGGACTGACACAGCAGCTGCCATACATGACACTGATTAATCTAAAAATTGTCACGTCTGTTGTCTGCAGCTCCTTTTCTTGAAAGCCAGCCGGAGCGGACCTTACATTCATTTGGTGGTGGGTAATTTTTATGCCAGCAGCCAGACAGAAGACCACAGCAAAGGTCAAATTTAACGCGCAACTTTCGCGCATAGTAAAGCAAGTTTTGCTACACTTCTATGACCACCGTGAGGCGTAAGCCTACCTCCCAATCGGAAGCCTGTGACTGAACATGAATGTAGTTCGTCAAGTCAATTCATCTTCATTGCCACATATTTATAAGCCGATACCTTATGGAATGAAGACCACGCATGTAAGCTTATTGTTACTCACCCGAGCCAGCTCAACATTGAATGCCCGCACAGCAAATGCTGCTGTTCTGGAACTTTTAGGCAAGAGCAATACACACAGGTAATTCTCGTAATCCAGATTCCTATATTTTCAACATACGAACGAAGAGGTCTATAAGAACCTTGTTCCGTGCGTTTAAATGGACGCATGCTATGAAATAACATGAAATTGAAAATGAATACCTGACCAAGTTGACGCAGTACTGGGAAGCACTTTGCGTTGTATTTGCCAAGTTTCTTGCCCCTGTCCGAAAGATTTTCCGGCGAGTTCGTGCAAAAACCCCTCTTCCATTCGAAATGGCCGCCATATTGCTAGTCACCAGGCTTTTGCGGTTTCCGTCGCAAATTTCGCGGGAGGGAATCGCGGGGGGTTTGGCACGGCTAGGAAATATTAATAATTAGTAGAATTCTAGTAGTATAGTAGTATACTAATGCAAATGCTACAATCCGATTGGCTGAGCTACTCGTATACTATCCAGTCTCGTTCCCAGAGTCTTCATTCCCCTTGACCAGCGGTCTGAAAACGAGAGCTCTGGGAGCAACCTTTTCAGGCATGTGCTGTAGATGCAGACTGCGCAGTGAAACCGGATAGGCAGAATCACCACAATTCGGTTATTTCAAAATGGTTGCTCCCAGAGCTCTCGTTTTCCAACCATTGGTCAAGGGGAACGAAGACTCTTAGAACGAGATTGTATACTATATATCAGCCATTAGAGTACAGTGGCTGTCGACCGTCCACAAAATGCGAAGTTTTTATCGTTTTTCTGAAGTTTTGGAAAAAAATTTAGATGTAAATGGATAATTAAATTCCTGAGAAGACTAAAAGAAGGACATTAGTGGTTTCTTGACTTTAAAAGCTTGAAATAATTGAAAAAATCAGGGTTTATTTTGAGCTCATAATCTAATTGTTAATTAGTACATACCACACAAGTGAATAGTGCTTTTCGCGCACTCTGATTGGTTAACTCCGAGGTGATTAGCAAGTACTATTCACCTCCAAGCAGCCGGCGCGAGAGATTTTAAAATTTCCGACCGCTTGTCACACATAAAATAAAGTTTTGGTCCGCTAATTGTTCAGCTTGTGTGGTATATATATACTAAAACAATAATTATTATTCACCTCAGTGTCGCTGAAAGTGATGGATATTTACCTCCACGTCAGTGAATGATTGTTGATTCTTCATTGACAGGCTTGGCAGGCACAAAAGAACTGCTTCTGCTGTTTTTAAAAAATTCTGCCTGAGAGGCAGAGATGGAACAGGTGGTGGTTGAAATTAGGATCTACACTCCCCAACATGAAAAATTAATTTTTCACAGCTCAGTGTTCTTTAATGAACATTCTACTTAATCTGTTAGAAAACTATTGGGCAGCCCTGATGGATTCGTGGGTGGGCAGGCTCTCTTCGTCATTCTGACAGGGATATATGGGCTGTACCTTTTGAGGAGGGAGGTTTTGAAAATTGTTTTCTGATACCACTCAGGGGGCTGGCTCCAACCTCGTTCCCAGGGTCTCTCATCTTACCGCACCCTGGAGCGAGCGAGGAGAGACTCTCCTCGCTTGCTCCAGGGAACAGTAAGATGAGAGACCTTAGGAACAAGGTTGGTCTGGCTCCTTATAAGGGTACATTTTACAAAGAAGTAAATAAACAGTATTAGATGATTTGCATGATTAAATTATTACACAACAACTACCAGAATCGCCCACCTTTTCTGTTTCTTACACTAACAGACCATTTTACAGTTGTCTGCTCAGTGACCTGGCCTTTGGATGGCAGTGAGGCCGGAGTTGACCTTGTTTTGATACAGACATCACTGCTTTTGTTGTGTAAAAAAGTTGTTCTGATGCTAACTAGGTGTATTTACATGACAAAAACAATGAGGTCTCTATCAAAACAAGGTCAACTCCAGCCTCACTGCCATCCAAAGGCCAGGTCTCTTAGCAGACAACTGTAAAATGGTCTATTAGGGTAATCTGCTATTTAGCCCCACTGGCCATGGGCATGACTGGGGCTTCAAAATTTAAATAAATAAAGAAAAAACAAAAGGAATTCTCGTAGCTGAAGTCAAATGGCAACAACATGCACATCTGCTATTGGCATAAGATGCCATAAACTCATGGCCCACGGGACTCTCATAGACCTCATATAAAAGGACGGGGACTGCTAGTCAGAAATCTTGAAAAGAAAATTTAAGAGGTACCAAAATCCTGTTGTGGGCATAGCTTGATTTTTTTTCATCCCTAAAAGGTGCCAATTCTAAAGCAACATGTTATCTCCTGTCATATTTTTTTTGACTCAATACCATAAAAGGTACTGCAAAAGCCCCCCTCTGTGGACCTTTTGAGGCTGAACACTCCAAGAGGTATCAAAACCGCTTTTTTAACCCCTAAAAGGTTCAAGTACGCACTCCTATCATTTTAATATGGGAGTCCACCAGCCTCGTGGTTTAATTCTACTAGACTCTTCAGGTCGGCCACTGGTAGAGTAAATGTGTTGTGTGTTTGGGTAAGACACTCTCAGTGGCCCCTTCACCCAAGTGTATTACAATCTTTATTAGTACTGGCAAATTAAATGCTGGGGGGTAACCAGGTGATTTCCTAGCATCCAATTCAGGAGAGAAGAAATACTCTTAGTCACTAAAGTCATTGTGCAGATGAGCAAATGTCATGATCACTTGTCATAACCACTCCGAGATTAAAATGAACCTGAGTTGCAAACCCCAAAATGGATTCTTTAACCTACAAATTTCTTGGGAAAAAATTTCCGACAATAATCCCAATAGAAACAACAAGGGTCACTTAAACTAGAAGGAAACAACGACAACAACTAGTTATTTGGTGGGTTTTGCTCTTTTTGTTTTCATCAATATCATTAACTACATTTAACATATTTAAATATTGTCTACTAATAATTAGTAAGTATTAGTATTAATTATTACGTGCAAAAGCCAAACTTTTACTGCCCAATGATTCCATATCTGATGAGGTATTGAATTGTTTGTTACATCTGCTAAAACACAGTTCACTTTAGTCTCTTTTCTTTGACAGTATCAAAAAGAAAAGATAGGACTGCTTTGTGCCAACTGGATGGTGAGACCACTTCCTGAGGAGTTTGTTGGCTGCTCATCAATAAATAATCTGCCAAGTGGTCATCTTTGTTTAACATGATTAATTCCAACAGCCTCTTCAACTGATTTGAAACCATCATTTCTATGAAAAACAACAACAATGGCATAAATTGTGTGAAAATTAGCAGACAAAAAGTGTTACACATATTTTTGTACATGTCTATTTGGGCTTATAATTATGACTTGCTCACCTGACAAGGTCAGCAAGTTCCCGTTTAATTTTCTTCACAATGGGTGGCCCTTCATAAGCCAGGGCTGTGTAAAGCTGCACTAAAGAGGCCCCAGCCTTAATTTTGTCGTAAGCATCTTGACCTGTAGATATTCCCCCCACGCCGATAATAGGTAGCTTTCCTGCAAAACAAGTCAAAAACAAAAACAAACAAATCAACATCACAGTAGTAAATGAACTCCGGGCAGTGATTTGAATATTTATCACATAAAAAACAAAGTCGTACCTGGTCACTACTAATTTTGCATGTTGTTGAGCCAATCGCAATGCATGAGCGGATTGTATGAGGCAAGTTCCTTAGCTGTCATATCCAGTCTCTCACTGGATAAACACAAAATACAGAGACTAGGTATGACTTTGACAGGTCACAAGAATCACTTACTCCCTTACTTACCTCCTGTAAGTTTATACATGTCACTCACTGTACGAGTGGACATTTCAGTCAATGGTTTTCCACTCAGACCACCGGTTTCTTTCTTGTGTTCACTTTTCAAGGTCTCTGGTCTGGCAACAGTTGTGTTTGTTACTATGATACCATCTACACCACCCTGAAAACAACACAAATATGTAACAAATTATTAATTGGATGAGGTTGAGCAAAATATAGAGATCTGACAGTGACGAGCAGGTCAGTTATTTGCCAAAGCCAAAGACTGAGGAATATAATAAATTAATCTATGAGGCACAGACAAGTCGCAATATTTTGCAATATTTTTCCCATGTACTTTAAGGATGTGGAACAAACTACCACAAGACATGAAGGCTCAACAGCACATTAGCAGCACAACAATCACACCAGTAAATAGCTTTGTCTCATGTTTTCTCTAAGAAAAACAAACCTTTTCCCGTGTTACCACAGCTGCAATGTCTTCTTTGTCATCATCAGTGAGATCTGGAGCAATCTTCACTAATAAAGGATTCTGTGCTTTTTTAGGCAAAGAATTACGAACCTCTAATACCTGAAGAAAATTTGACAGCATTGAGAAAAAAAATGTCCAGGCAGATGTTATTTTTAATTACCAGATAATTTGAAAGGTTGCCATTACAGTTATGTCACATTCTAAGCCTGATGGATTGGCAATGCTGATTCATCATCAGTCTAGAGTGTTGCATCAAGCAACTATGATAACTGCTCCTCCTAGAAGGGATGCCCCAGTCCAGTGGGGATCAACAATAGTTCCAACAGTTTCCAAAGATGCCAATCAGTTTGAAGTACTAAGTGATAATAATTTGTACAGCCGGGTCATGAGAGGCATTGTGATCTAACAAAGTGGCAGACAAAAAACACAACTTTGGATAATGAGAAGGCCAAATGAACTGTACATAACTGTAATAGTAAAATGCACCAGGCTGTCACAGTAGCGACAGCACTTGTCCCACCAATGTGGCAACGTGTATATGTGGGTTGAATTTGTTACACACAATTATAGTCCATTCTTTAACCATTTTCCCAAGGTTTTTCAATTTTCTTCCTTCTACAAAACCAAACCTTAAATTCCAAATATTTGATGATCTGGTGTCTGTGATTAGTGCATGTTAGAAGCTTGTAAGGGGCTAGAAAGATTGACAGGGTTACTTCAGGTCTTCATCTCTACTTGACTTCAAGGCCATATCCATCCATCTTTAGCTGTTGCTATAAATTTGCAGATTGTTAACATTTTATGAATATTTGATAACAAGGATTGTTGTTGTTGTTGTTGTAGAACACCCTCAATGTACTGTATTAACTCATCAATTCAACAAAATCTTTTATGTACATTAGAATGTAATAATATTTATTTTCCTGTACCTTATCTATAAGTTTTTCTAATTCTTGTCTGCCTTGTAGTGATCTAAGGCCTGGCGTGTTTGGTGATGAAACGTTGATAACCAAGTAATCACCCAGACCACTGAAGCACTTCACTCCTTTAACATAATCCTCCACAGCATTATCAGAAGTTTTATTTTTACCCAGATTTATTCCCAGGATTCCAGGAGGGTGACCTCTTTCTTGTATCTGCTGTTTTAGACGTGACTGGACAGCCTCGTGTCCATGGCTGTTGAAACCATATCTAGTAAGAAAATGCAAGGGCAGTTGAATGAGAGGCTTATGTAGATAAAGGAAGACACAAGGATGATCATGTGTACTAAAGGCATCTGCGGTCGAGTGTTGACTGATACCTGTGATCGATACTCAATTGACTCTCCATCAACACCTTGGTTGACACTCGATTGAATCTTCATTGACATCTTGGTCAACAGTCCACTAGGTTGACAGTCGACTATTTTTTAATTTTTTCAATTCATATGAGTCAGTCGACACTCGACCGACTGTCGACCGACTGTTGATCAAGTTTTAATAGAGTGTCAACAGAGTATTGATTGGGATGTCAATCGAGATGTCAATCGAGGGTATAGATTGAGAGTATCGATCTGAGAAATACATAATAGTGCTAGCACATAATAGCACATAAGGTCTGAGAAATGAGGACAAGCCTTCACATACCCTCCCTTTTAAACTTTCTAACAAAAGAAGAAATGTTGTAGTATTATCATACTATCATTATATATCTAATATCACTGTTATACTGTATGGCCTCACTGGCAAAATCCTATAGAAAAAGGCAGGCTGATCTTTGGATAGGTTGGCAGGTGTTAGTAAAAAGTGCCTGAGCTCTGCAACCATGGTTAATTCAATTAGTGCATGCAATTCAGAGCATTCAAAGACAGTTTTTACAATAATTATCAAAGAAGGGAAATGAAGTCATCAATATCCTCACTAGTCAAGATATGGAAAATATGCCACTCAGGTATAGATGAAGTATTACAAGTGGTGTATTTTCCAGTAAAACACTTGTGTCTGTATAATAAATTCCTGGGGGGGGNCATTCGATTCTTCAGTCCTGTCACAGTTTCCTGAAGCTCCTCTGTTCGGTCATTTAATCTTACAAGTGGACTCTACAACGAAAACCAACAGACTCAATAAAATCATTTCCTGTGAAGACCAAGGGGAAGGGAATCCCATATAAAAAGGACGGGGTGCTCGGCTGAAATTTTGAAATGAACCCCTCAATGGGAAGTACCAAGATCCTGTTTTTGGGGACGTGGCTTGAATTTTTTCCCTCCCCTTTGAGGTACCAATTCTTACATAAAACATTATCTCCTGCGGCCACATATTTTTGGCTCAATACCCTAAAAGGTATCACAAAAGCTCCTGCTGTGAACCTTTCAAAGATGAACACACCTTTTAACCCCCAAAAGGTATGACAAGTAGCCCCGTCCTTTTTAAATGGGAATCCCCCCAGGAATAAATTAGGCTCTTAGGTACCACTGTGCAAGGCCTGTATGCAAGGTCTGCAGGTGAAATATTATTTTTAGATTACCACATTTTTCATTAAGTTTAATTAATTTATTCATGTTTATTGCTTATATCAAAGTGCAAGAATATTACGGCATTTCCCACCTATTAATAACAGCTTTGTCCTCCTTCAGTCTGAACACTCTTGGTTTAGCATTACCCTGCTGCGGCAATGGTGTTACACTTCCAATTTCTACAAAACCAAATCCAGCTTTTAACATTCCATCTACAGCTTCACCATGCTTGTCAAAACCTGCTGCCAAGCCAATGGGATTTGGAAATGGGAGACCAAACACTGTGGTTTCCTGGATAGAAATTGAACAACAAAGTTTACTTCATCTGTTGAAGGACTAAAAAATGACTTAACAACAGTTCTGTCTGAGCAAGATGTAGGTATTTGCAAAAAAAGGTTAATAAATGTTACATTTGTTAAATGTTAAACTTCTAGCCTCTTCCAGGTGCTCAGTTATTTGGGGTGCAGCAAGCACTGTTTTCTGTGCTGCGCCCCAACTAACTGAATGCTTGGAAGAGACTATTAAACTTCTCTTATCAAAACCAAAGATTGTGATACTAAGATAAGTCTTAGAAGCAGCAAATGCACTCAAAAGGGTGTGGACATGCCCCTTCTGGATCCAAAAGGGGGTAGGAAGAAAAGACTGAAATAGGCCCTGGGAACAACTAAGATAGTATATCTCCAAGAGAGAGCTCACTGAGAACCAGTCTAGACTTCTGTTGTATCAAGTTTTCATTTACCAGTATTTCAGGATCACCAGTTTGGTCCATAGGAACTAGACCTTTAGAAGCCAGCCACACAGCAAATGTGTGAGAACGTTCAGGTTCCAGCACTCTCATAACAACAGGCATGAGAATGGATCTGTAAAATCTCTCATCTCCTTTGGCTGAGAAATGTACTGTACCTAGAACTGCGGTACATCCCACCAGTGCTATGCCATGTTTAACGAGACTTCTTATTATACCCTGTCGAAATGTGGACTGCAGTAGAAAAGGACACAAGCAGTATTAAATATGATGCAATATCTTACATGTCTCTTGGTATACTTTCATCTTTAATTCAAGGAAAAAATGGTATTCTTATATATGCCATATTCATGTCTACATCTGTTCATACTGTAGACATGAATTAAATGTATAATCTAATTGGATCATGTGTACTAAAGGCATTGTTGAGTATCAATTGATAGCAGCTAGCCTCAATCAACCAGCCGTCAACATCTTCACCAACACTCAATCAACATCCCAATCGATACTTGGTCGACATTCAATCAACCTTTCATTAACATCTCAACTGACACTTGATCGACACTCAATCAACCGTGGGTCAATAGTTGGGTGAGTGTAGACCGACTCATATGCATCGTTCAGAAATTAGTTGATTATCGATCAACTGCTGACCAAGAAGACGATCAAGAGTTGATTGATTGTTGAGCAAGTGTCAACTGAGGTGTCCATGGAGTTTTGATCAAGTATCAATTGAGTGCCCATAAAGGGTATCAAATTATCCAGGTGTTGATCAGCACTCGACCAGGGATGCCTTTAGTACACATGGTTCAATTTTAGGTATAAGTATCAAACGTTTCACAATTTTGAGGCATATTGGTAGTAGTAGTATCACACTAGTCCACACGCACCTCCTCCCCCACCCCCTCCTCCCTGCTGAGGGAGTAGTTTGTCGCCAAGTCACGAAACATTTCACGACTCAAACTTCGTTTTCAAGATTTCTCAGAATACACGCTTCACGGAGTATATTTAAATTACGATTCACAGAAAGGTTTTTACAGTTTGCAGGCCAAAAAAATGGTGAATCAAGGAGTCACGAAAACAAACCTTGTCCTTTAATTTCCCTCGAAAAGTCATCACGTGCGAAAAGCGAACTCCCGGACTACTGACAAACAAATCGGCGAAACTCACCATTTTGATAAATCTTTTAAGAGAGCAGGAAAATTCTACTCAGAGACGGTGAATATGAAGATAGTGCAATTGAAGCTGGTGGAAAATCAAACCCTCAAGTGCAAACTGTCCCCCATTTGAAACGAATGCTAGTTCCCAAGCTCTTGACGAGCATCTCGATGTCTTCCCGCCAAGCGTGAAACTCGCGCGAGACGCCATTAGCGGGGAGGATGTCTTTCGCGCAGAATGTGGGTCAACAAGATCAGTGAAAGAAATGAATGAAAATTATTTGTTTCCGCTACAGTGTAGCCTAGAATGTTACAGAAGCGGTGTTCTTGACTGGTCATTTTTTCATATGGCAATGAATGGCAGATTTTGCCCATCACTTCTTTGTAAACACTAGCCAGCGAACAGCCTCCGGTGACCCTCGATTGCTTCGCTCTCCGAATTCTTCTGTTTTCCGAATTCTTCTGTTTACATACATACATATTTCGCGCTCGCCGAATGTGTTTTTTTCCGTCCTAACCGGGAGCCTGTTCGCAGGCTTTGTAAACACAGGAATGACGTCCAGACCGGTGTAAAACTAATGACGCAATACTACGTTTCTGTGCATGTATATTAGAGGGCAGAGATCAGAGGGGAAGGGAACTCAGAAACAAGGGAGTGTAGACTGCTGGGCTTAAAAGGCAAACAGTGAAGAAAATTGGTCAATGGATGATTTTTCCAACAGTTCCAGAGATCAGGGGGGTTGACGTGTGGACACAACCCAAAATTCAACAGAGTGCATCTCAGTGTGTGCTGTTCGTCTAGGGAACTTTATTATATTGTCAACAGAACCATCAGCAAAGGGAGAAAGGTAGCACAAAAACTGTGATAATACAACACTGAAATACAAAATGAACAAATCTGAACAAAGAAAGGAACAACCAAAAAAGTTTACACATTTCGTACACAACATTTATCTTATAGGGAGTATCTATCATAACATATATAGAGGATATTACACGGTGGCGAGAAGACATGAATTTTATGTTCGAGTGGCAAGAACAATATCTTCTTGCCACGAGAACATAAAATTCATATCTTCGAGCCAACGTGTAATGTTCTTTNGGAATCGTGACGTCATTGAACGATACGACACTCACAAAGGTGACATACGGAAAATACGCCACTCGGGTCCCGGATGAAGTGGCGTATGAAATCTACGAGTGGTTTGGTTCCCAGTAAAACACTCTTCTCCATATAATAATATGTAAAATATCACACTGACAGTATATAGACTATGACTGCATTCCTATTTGGGGGGATCTGGATCAGGATCAGTGATCCAAGATCTGTCTGGATCATGGTGCATCAAAGAAACCGATGAATCCATAACCAGAGTGGATTCATCGGTTCCTTTGATGCACCATGATCCACACAGATCTTGGATCACTGATCCTGATCCAGATCATCCCAAAGGAATGCACCCTATGATAACAAAACATCATTACAAAATTAACAAGCAATTCATTTCAGACTTTTATATCTTAAAATTACTTGATAAAATACTATTTAATTTTTTTAACTTCTCTATTGTTATGTTCTTATCAATTAATTGAAAAGACTATTAAACACAAGTTTACTCTCTTATTGATTGTTGCTCTATAAATGGACCTTTTCTTTAGCATGTTTATACTTGTCCTACAAAGATCTAAAGACTGTGAATTTAAGAATAATTAATGACAACGTTTTTGTTTGATATGACAAGAGCATAGCAAGTTTCTACAAGTCTTTTTTACTGGACTTGTTCCTGCTCCAAGAAAAAAAGTCAACGCCCTGTACTTCTGGAGGCAGATACGTCTGATCAACAGGTTCGTCAAATGCAGGATTGTACTTGTACCCCGCACCATATCCTAAACTTTTCATCAGCTTAGTTGGAGCATTCCTGATATGTAAGGGCACTGCTGGCTGAGGACCCTCCCAGCCACTCACATACTTCTTAGCCTCACTGTATGCATTATATATCTCAATGGACTTTGGAGCTCTGGCAAGGTAGACTACAGCTTGGGCGAGGATCACCTGTTTAAAGGCAGAGATTATGTTTAGTTTTATTTTCTGTTATTTGCCATTTTATTATCTACAATAGACATGATATTTGGCATTGGATTTTTTATTGTTAAATGTTACTTTATTGCACCTGATTTTACCATGGAACTGTACTTCATCATTTATCAAATACCCATTAACAAAAGCTTACCCCAATCTCACATCCAGTACGTTTTTAGTGGCACCTCAGTAAGCAAACAACCAAGCAGCCAAAACATGGGCGTAAGATTAGTGGATAAGACCATAGAATGGAAATTGGTAGGGGTTTCATTAATGTTTTCACTGGTGGGCAAAACTTTTTAACTGAACTTCTTTCTAACAAAAATGGTTCTCTACATGAGCAAACCAGGTGGGCAAAATCATCATCACAGCTGGTCAATTTGCCCAGTGGCCGGCCCTTAATTTTTGTCGTCATGGCTATCCCTCTTTTAGGTCGAGGATGATAGTCTTAGTATTGATCAGCAGTGTGTCCACAGGTGGTTCATGAGTCCAATTTTTGCCCGAAAGGTTTGGCCCTTAATATTATGAAAACCCTGAATGGAGCATTCTTTTCCTGCTAACAATTATAAAAAATTACCAAACATTGCATGCATGTACTTACATCACACTCTGGCATTCCGATAAAATGGCAAGCTTGGTAAGCTGCGACAGCTTGGTTCAAGGCCTGTGGATCTGCCAAGCCTGAGAGGAGAAATATTAACAAGAAAGCAATTTGGAATCCCCTGCACAACCATCTTGCATGTCAGTAATGTACTGCAAAGGCTCCAAATAGTGAATACACAGCATAATATGGTGTGGAGATCCATTTGAATGGGACACCAATATAGACATGCTGTGGCAAAGTGGTTAGTACGTTGACTTCTGGCTAGGAATTAAAAGTCAGAAGGCCTGCTGGTGCTGGTGCTTATGTCTGGGGTCTGTCGCATGAAGCAACCACATGTAGTAATATCATTACTTTCCCTAGATTGGATGTCAACTAGTAAATCACATCCACAATGCAGATTTTTCTGTCAGGTTGCCTTTAGTTAGCAATTTGCCTGTCTCTGTTTACAATCCTGGGTGGAGACAGGTACAGTGAGAGTCAAGTGCCTGGATCATGTGTACTAAAGGCATCCATGAGTTGAGTTGAGTTGAGTGTCAATCAATACCCTCGATCGAGCCTTGATCAACACCCCATTGACTTCTTGATTGATACTCAGTTGACACTAGATTGACAATTGATCAACTGTTGGTCGATAGTCGGCAGTGTCAATTGACTCATATGTATCAATTGACACTCAATGGCATGTCTGCGAAAATTAGTCAACTCTCAGCCGACTTTCGACACAGATGTCCACTGAGCGTTTACCAAGTATCGATGGAGATGTCAACTGAGTGTTAATCAAGATGTAGTTGGAGTGTCAATCAAGGGTATCAATTGACACTAGGACCACAAATGCCTTTAATACACATGATCCAAGTGTTNTAGTAATATCATTACTTTCCCTAGATTGGATGTCAACTAGTATATCACATCCACAATGCAGATTTTTCTGTCAGGTTGCCTTTAGTTAGCAATTTGCCTGTCTCTGTTTACAATCCTGGGCAGAGACAGGTACAGTGAGAGTCAAGTGCCTGGATCATGTGTACTAAAGGCATCCATGAGTTGAGTTGATTTGAGTGTCAATCAATACCCTCGATCGAGCCTTGATCAACACCCCATTGACATCTTGACTGACATCTAGATTGATACTCAGTTGACACTAGATTGACAATTGATCAGCTGTTAGTCGATAGTCGGCAGTGTCGATTGACTCATGTATCAATTGACACTCAATGGCATGGCTGCAAAAATTAGTCAACTCTTGGCTGACTTTCGACACAGATGTCCACCGAGCATTTACCAAGTATTGATGGAGATGTCAACTGAGTGTTAATCAAGATGTAGTTGGATGTAGTGTCAATCAAGGGTATCAATCGACACTAGGACCACAGATGCCTTCAGTACACATGATCCAAGTGTTTTGCCCAAGAACACAACATCCAGGCCCAAAACCAGACTTCTTGGGAGTACTATTGCAATATCCACTGCTACAGCACTGCCTACAAACTGTTTGTACTACAACTTAAATCAACCAAGCACATACCAATATCCTCACTGGCAAATCGCACCAGCCTACGAGCTACATAGAGTGGGTCTTCTCCTCCTACAAGCATTCTGGCAAGCCAGTACAGAGCAGCATTCTCATCACTCCCTCTTATTGACTTGTGTAGTGCAGAAATAATGTTGTAATGTTCTTCACCATTTCTATCGTAAAGCAAGTGTGTTTTTTGAAGGCCTTCTTTAATATGCGACACATTGACGCAAACAATCTGTTTCTCGTCACATCCTTGAGTATCAGCAGAGCTGAAGTCTAGTAGGTTACATTCTCCATTTTGTTGCAATGAAGATGGGCCGTTAAGTTCATTGTCGTGTCCCTTTGTTTTCTGTTTCACTGCAGCTACTTGTGATTGTATCGCAAGCTGAAGACCATTCAGAGCAATCCTGGCATCGCCGTCACACAGGTTTGCTAAAGTTGTAATAGCTTTCTCTTCAATGACAACAAGATGATCACTGATAAAAATAAAATAAAAAAAACACAGAGACATGGGTTACTGACAGAGCGTGAGGTCAAGATGGCTGGATATTGGCCTAGTTGTTTTTTGTGTGTTTATGGAACGAGAAGGAGTTGAAGTCCATAAACTAGCAAAAAAAGAACAAGGTCAATATTCAGCCATCTTCACCAAATAAGCTAATGGTCAATACAGGATATACGGTACTATATAGCAAAAAAGCACTATTTCTTGCGGGACACAACAGGTCATCTAACCCACTTGGGTAGCCAATCACAGTGCAAGATTTAGTTTATCTTGCCCGCTTGCAGAGCTAGCCATATAATAAGTTAGAATATTGCTTATGTCAAGAGAAAAGTGGTCTTTTTATACCTGTCCTTAGGTGCAAGATTTCTCTGCCTCTTATCTAGGGAATCCCCTTTACCAACTAACACTCCCATACTGTGCATGGCATTTCGCAGGATTTGCTCAACATGATCCACTGTAAGTTTCTCAAGCACTATGACTCTACAGCGGCTCAACAGAGCATTGTTAAGCTGGAAAGACGGGTTCTCTGTAGTTGCTCCTATCAATGTAATTGTTCCATTTTCAACATGTGGAAGAAAGGTGTCCTATAAAAACCAGAGCAGCAATGAGGTAATTTGTAGATTACTAATTAATGGGTAGAATGGGTAGTTAATGATGCTGTTTCGCTGTTATGAAGAAAGAAATCTGACCAATAAAGGGTGTACATTGGTTATCATGTTGCAATGTTCCAGACTGACAGTTTGTGGGAGAAAAAAAAATGGGCAAAAATCCTTACCCAAACTCTGTATCTCAGTCTTTGTGCCAATCCTATCCTTTATGCAGTGCCCAAATATGAACTGAATGCCTGCAGTAGGCTACCATAACAGCTGCCTGTCAGCTATCAGTTGATTGACAGTTGATTTACAGTACAGGGCAGGCTTACCTCCCAGGTGAAGGGGGGACTCATATAAAAAGGTGCTTGTCTGAAAATTTGTACAAAACCTCTAAACGAGACCCATCTAGGCATGGCTGGAGCTTTATTTGACCCAAAAAACTATGCCATCCTGCACTTGCTGTTTGAATTTTTTGTCACTTGATTGATCAAGATGGTATGTCTACTGTCTTTTTGTGACTGTCATGAATAAATGTTGCACTAACACAATCTACATAGTAGCAATATTTACCTGTTGAAGTTTATTGAATCTGTGTATCTCATCCACAAACAAAATTGTTTTGCGTTTAAACATTTGTAGTTCATTTCTTGCCACTTTCACTACCTCCTTGATATCACTTATGCCACTTGTGGTCGCTGACAGCGGTACAAATCGAGCTTTGTTACTGGCTTTGGCAGAGTTGGCTATAATGTGAGCCAGAGTGGTCTGAAATCATAGATAGCAACAGTTCGACATACAATATTAAAATGATGTTACCACATAAAGGAAACAAAATATTTGTCAAAATAGTATACCTCATGTCAGGCTAAACTCATTCAAAAACCATACCCTTTGGTGCTGTACCCATTGAAAAAACTCATAAAAAAGATACCCTGAGTTGCAAGGTTTTTGAAGAAGAGATTCAATGGAACTATCTTCATTAAAGAATAAGGAAGTCAGTTTTTCATAACACCAGAACAATTAACCAGTCTGTTTGCATTGACCTTAGTTCAAATAACTTATAATAAGGGACAGACCATTATGTTTTGAGGAGGGTGGGTGGGCAGTTTCCGAAAAAAATTCCGCCACAGCAAAAGTGACTGCAAAAAACTCGTGTCAGGAGAGCCATGGGGAAAAAAAAAAATGTAACAAGTGCTTTCTACTATTTAGGTCCTGTGTTTGACTTTAAAAATTTTATAGTGCAAGCTATTGCCCACCTAAAAGAATCATGCACAACCCAGGCGAGAAAAAGGTGAGAAAAAATTTCATGCTCCAGAAATTTTCCCCT